TTTTTTTTTTTTTTTAGTAGAATCAGAGTCTTGCTTTGCTCACACTGGTCTCAAAGTTCTGAGCTCAAGTAATCCTGCTTCAGCCTCTCAGAGTGCTAGGATGACAGGCATGAGCACTGTACCCAGTCCTACTTAATTTTTTAGACAAGATCTTGTTCTGTTGCCAAGGCTAGAGTATAGTGGCATCCTCATAGCTCACTGCAACCTCAAACTCCTGGACTCAAGAAATCCTCCTGCCCAACCCTCCTGAGAAGCTGGAATTATAGGCATGCACTACTACGCACAGTTAGTTAATTTTCTATTTTTTGTAGAGATGCAATCTCGTTCTTGCTCAGGCTTTTCTTGAACTCCTAGCCTCAAGTGATCCTCCTGCCTCATCTTCCCAAAGTACTAGGATTACAGGAGCAAGCCACCATGTCCAGCCTTATTTTAGTTTATAAATTGTCAAAAAAAAATTTTTTTTAGAATGTTGCCAAGCTGGATGGAGTGTAGTGGCTATTCATGCATGTGATCATGGGGTACCATAGCTTCAAACTGCTGGGCTCAAGTAGTCCTCTTGCTTTAGCCTCCTGAGTAGCTGAGACTTTATTTTTAAGAACAGTCTTAGGTTCATAGCAGAATTGAGCAGAGGATTCCAAGTGTTCCATATACTCCCATCCATCCCTCTACACAGTCATAGCTGCCTCACTACATGCATAGTGTTCCCCACTATCAACATCCTGAACCAGACGATTCTTTGTTTTTGAGTTGACTAATTTTCTTGTGGTTTTCATTTACTTTGACATTGTTCTAAAATATGTTTTATAACATTCTCTTATTTAAAAAAAATCCATGTTCATCAAAAGACACCATATGAAAATGAAAAAATAAGCCACAAATTTGAGGGAAAATAATTGTAGTATATGTAACAGTTGGAGAATTGGTGTCCTGAACAATGACGGCTGCATGAGTATACAATTTATGTGGTCATGCAGTGCCCCTCACGTAAATGATCCCTGTCACCATCTTAAAATTCTTAATTTTTGAATAAGTGGCCCTGAATTTTTATTTACTTATTTAAAAATATTTTTTTATGGTGAAAAAGAATATATGTATATATATTCATTTATTTAATTTTTTTTTTTTTTTGGAGACAGAATCTCACTTGGTCACCCTTGGTAGAGTGCCATGGTGTCTTAGCTCACAGCAACCTCAAACTTTTGGGTTCAAGTGATCCTTTTCCCTCATTCTCCCAAGTAGCTGGGACACCCACTAATGACTCTTGGCTATTTTTTTTAGAGACGGGGTCTCTCTCTGGCTCAGGCTGGTCTTGAACCTGTGAGCTCAGGCAACTCACCTGCCTCAGTCTTCCAAGTGCTGGGATTACAGGCATGAACTACCATGCCTGTAATGCCTGGGGAAGAAATGTATGTATTTAAAATTATTCAGTGGGACTCAAATGATCCGAATTTTGTTGGCATTTTTGAAGCATCTTAATCCCAAGCCAGTTGAAATTAGATATTCTTCTCTTAGGCCTGATCAGTGTGTTCATCAGGGTATTGGCTACATCATTGTCCTAGAGCAGTGGTTCTCAACCTTCCTAATGCCGTGACCCTTTAATACAGTTCCTGTGGGTCTCGACAGGGTTAGGGTTAGGGTTCAGGTTCAGGTTCGGGTTAGGGTTTGGGTTCCTGTGGGTTGAGAACCGCTGTCCTAGAGCTTCATAGCCTCTTTGATCTGGTGTTTATTGGCCTGGACATCCATAGTCAACACAATGTGTTTGTTGTGTTCTGTTGTCTGCTAAGTGGTGGTGGGGCACTGATCAAGTTTGTTTATTCTGTGGGTTCCCTTCCAAGGATATTAGGCCTGCCTTGCAGTGTGCAGTGTCTTGGGCAGCAGGAAGGTGGGTAACATGTGAGCCCCTTTCAGCACTTCATTCTTGGTCTTTAAAACCTTGGCTTTGGCTTTGACTTTGAGGGAGGCCAGGGCTTCCTTCTTTACTGTTAGCACTATCTTTTTAAATGAGTGGTCCTTTTGGCACATTGGTACTTTGCTCTGTGTCCTGCAGATTATGTAGCCAGTCCTGGCTGGTCCTGGATAGAGAAAGCCTACTAATTAATAGGAAAATGGCCAAAATCTGAGAGTAAAGGAATATAGGTAATTAGTAAACATAAATGTCTTCCACCTCATTGTATCTTCAATCTGTATTTTAAAATGTGTAGAGTTATAAGCAATTAAATATATATATATATAAAATAAAATCTATCTGACTCATTTTGATTTAGCCCATTTAGATTAATACATTTTCTTTAACATTTTTGTAGCATATCATCTAATCTGAAAGTCTTCCATGAAAACGCCAGTTTTAAAAAATAAATAATGCCATCTGTTTTCCTAAAAGAATGAAATGGGGGCTATCATTTTGAGGTAAGTGTCCATTTTTAAATTTTTAATTACTTATTTTTCCAGAAGTTAAACATACGAGGAAAATGTGAATATTACTTAGATTCTAAATATTTTGGTTAATCTGTGAGATGGAGTGTGGGGATAGTGTAGGGGTAGCCATGGCCTTGTTTTAAGATAGTCTGATATGTAGGATCATGTTTAACACACAGCTAAGAACAGAGTTTCATATAGAGAGAGGAGGTCAGTGGTATTGAAAGATTTTACAGAGGTTACTAAAAAACTGAAGAAACTTTTTTTAGATTTGACAATTTGGAGATTGTTGATGACCCCAGCAGAGGCCATTTTAG